AGTGTCGAAACGTCGTTTGTTTTTATCTTGTTTTATCCATGTTATTGTTCTAATATATATTTATACATTTAATTACATTGTCATCGTCGTGTTCTATCTATTACATTTCGTTTTCTCATTCTAATATCTTGTTATACTTTATACACATTAAATAAAATGTATTTTTTTTTAAAGTTTATTATAATTATCCAATACAGCACAGTTCTAAAGGATACCCAAAGGTAGTAAAATGGATGCCTTCAACATGCAGATACGTGTTCTGTAGGAGCATTTTAATAAAGATACTTGAAATATTATTTTGATTTCCCTTCTTTTTTATGGCATTAAATTTGGTTCTTTGCAAAATACATTATTTTGATTTCACTTCTTTTTTATGGCATTAATATAGGTACTTGACGCTTTTCTTTTACATTTTTAATGTCTTTTTCCGGTTAAATATATTCATATCATATACTACGAAGTATGATTTTATTAAAGTATCTAAAAATTTAACAGAATATAAATCTAAAAATATTTTTGTTTTAATCATCAAAATAATTATGTAGAAGCTCAAACTAGAATGTTCTTTTTTTGCAGTACTGATATCAACGCTTAAGCGTTCTACATAATTATTCTAATCGTCTAGCAAAATTATTTTCAGATATATCGAGCTAAATTTTTAAATACTTTAGCAATTTTTTAAATATTATGCGTACTACCGTCTCGTGTACATCATGATCTTTTTCGCATTCACACGTATTGTTTAAAAATATAAAAAACAGGAATTAATGTATAAAAAACATTTTTTCTTAATGACACATTTCTTTCGTATCATATCATAAGATTTCAGAAGGTCGATGTTCGATAACGATTCGCTTTCCTGATTGTTGGGCGCCAGACGATTCAAAGTTCGATTGATTGACGATGACAAAATAATTGACCACCTGCTCACGTTGGTAATTGAACGCCAAGGCAAGCAAGCGGCGACTAATTAACGAGAGAAAAGCGGTTACGTACGCGGACTCCTTTCAGTTGACAAGAAAACGCAGCTGGGCATCTGCTTCTTGGTCGCTCAGTTAGTCAACGTCGTGACCTGGGCGCGAAATTTGCGACTCGACGGCGCGATCGCCAAAGAAACGAAATCCGGGAAAAATCGTCGATCAGCGGGCGCTCTAAGTTAACGGTACTCTCTGACGCAATCCTTTAAATATTTCTTCGGTCGAGAGTTCTCTTGTTGGCTCGTTACTGATACATACGCGAGCTCTTCTATTCGTCGTCGAACTTGACGCGACTCCCGTATATACATGATAGCGATTTTAAGATAGTTTCTTTAAAGTATGACTGAATCATGAATGGAAAATAATGTTTAAATACGAGACGTGTTTTAGGATACTGAAATCTTGTCTGGACAACCAAATTTATAAGAAATATAAATCTTTGCATGATATTAATTTACTAAATAAAAATCTAGAAAATTCACTAGCAGTTTTGCTATTGATAAATCACTTTTTATTAGGGTAAACCCGGTATATACGCCGCGCGAGGATATACACCGCAGAAGTCAGAAAAAATAGAAGCGAGTAGGGATAATTTTCCGTCAATTACTTTGTTACATGCGTTTATGGTATATTAATACTATGTTATAATTTCAGTTTTTTACTGTTAATATTAATGAAATTATTGCAAGTTAATCGATTTTTTACTGTAATAAGTAGTGCCATCATAATTTATAATCTACATAAAATGATTACTGTAGAGCGTGTAAAAGACTTATTGTTAGTGATTATTTTGCAATACATATGTATAGAGGAATAGTAAAGCATGTTATATAGTAAAATACAAGTGCTTTGCGCCTGTATTGTTTGTTTAATTAATTGTTTTATATCATACGGCATTTTTAGCGAACGGGATTTGTGCCGCAGCACAGACGCTCTATTTAAGAAGTTTTTGTTAATTCTAACAATTATATTTTGCATTAATGCATAAATGTAGATAAATCTTAAATATTTAAAGATTATTTTCAAAGATTTAAAGCTATTTAAAAAAATTTTATAAAGTCCTATTTGTATTCCAATTTTTATTCTGGACAATAAAATTATCATATATTAATAAACAAATGCAAGTTACGTCGTCATTTTACATCTTATTTATAGATTATTTGTGATTTTCTTATGAATCATATATGAATAACTATATTACTCCCCCCCCCCCATGGGATAAATGGCAAAAATGCAGGGGTTTAAAAAAGATATTTTTTAATATGGAAAATAAATTATTTTAGATTTCTAATATTTTATTTACAGTAGTAAATGGTACAAAGTTTTTATTAGTATAATTAATTTGCTTTAAACATAGTAAATAATAATTGATAAATTAAGTTTTTGATAGGTGTGGCGTATATACCGGGTTTACCCTATTTATTTTCCTTTTATTTGTCCATCAATACTAGATGATTCACAAATCATAATTCAGAACGCGTCCACGAACCAGAACAACGATACTCCCAGCGTTTTTAAAACTTCGTTTGTGTACTTGTAAATGAGGAAAAAGTGTGCCCATGATCGGGGACACTGGAAGCGAAAGGGTTAAGCACCGAGTAGATACAAGAAACGTATATCTACATACGTGTGTACATACATCGTGCAAACAGAAACTCGAGCGAAAGGATCGTCGACTGAGACTCGTCGCATCATGTCACGGCTGCAAATCTTTCCTTTTTTTCATTTACAGTGAATTTCTGCGCGCCTTACTGGACGTGTGCTCACTCGTTCATGAACAACAAAGTTTCAATCGATCGACACACGTCCTTTCCACGCAATCTCGCGTAGAAATTGATAAATGTCGCGTACGTACATCGATCATGTATCTAACCGGAGCGCTTGATTCTTTTAGAGTTAAGAAATCGATGCGATTTCCAACTCAATACCAGCTTTCGAAATCAGCGGTCGCTCCTCTCTTTTTTTTATTCATTCCCTTCGCCGATAACGGATCGGAGAGTGGTGGCATCTCGAATTTTTTCAAATCAGCAGGAGAGTTATCACTTTTATTCAAAGGTCATTGGTCAAGTAATTCGCGTTAATAGTGAAATATTTTAAACATAAGCTCGTTAGTGCAGGTTAGATAAAACACTTGATTAAATAAATTTAGGTACGCAAATTATGAGATTTAGTGAATTAATTCAATGTGTAGAAGCCAGTGACGATAAATCAATCAGTCTCTTATAAAACAAATATTTTTTACATTTAATTAAAAATTGTTATGCGTAAGAAGATATACTTAAACAATAATAAATAAAGTAAAAGACTCTTAGTTTAAAACTAATGGTAAATTACAAAAACAAATTAAGAGTCGGAAATTTTTAAAAAAATGTTTTCTTTAATGAAGTAGTAAAATCATAAAATAAATATCAAATCGTCATTAAACGCAAAAAACATAGAATTAAAAAATAATAGAATTAAAAAATAACTTAACAATATCGCAAATCTTCAAATCGCAGATCTTCAAATCAATAACTTGACATGTTTCGACTCGTGGATTGAGTCTTCTTCAGAAGTAAAGCCAAAAACCGTAGTGCAGTTAACAGAATCATTAATATTCGAAGATGAATCCATTTTCAAAGTAAGAAATTTATTAAAATCGATTGGTAGATCGGAAATATATAAATCTGTGAAAGAATCAAGCCTTTTCTTTTATAAAATAAATTAACTATTAGTATAAACGATTAAGAAGAAACAAAATTTTTAATTTCCAAACCTCAAGTAATGGACTCATCCACACACAATTATCGTATAAAATTCTGTCACATTTGTCGGAATACATAATTAGTACGCTAGACGACGAAACAAGAGCGGAAAATAACACGTCTGTACAATACTAAAGTTGACTGTAATCTAAAAAGGTAGAAGCACGACAATGTCAAAATTTGTTTATCAACGGAATGTATGCTTCATGAAGGCCTTCAGTGTCTGTTTGTGTAAGTTTAAACTATTTCTCTGTCTTTTAATATTAATCATTTCAGACACTATCCGTTTCCTGTAATTAGGTTCTTCGTCAAGAATCTCTACCTCGTCCCATATTCATGATTAAGAGATTACTAAAAATAGAGCTTAACGACATGCATAGGGAAAATCATCATTTAAGATCTTTGTTGTTCCAAGCGGTGAGTTAAGTTGACAAATTTTCTCCCTACAAGAATTTGTGATGAATTCTTGAATACACAAGAGAGAAAATGTAAATCCATTTTTATTAGAGAACAAAATAAACTTGATCGCAAACTTTCATGGATGATACATAAGAAGGAGAAACAGACTCTGGAATACATAGTTCCTATTCAATATGTCACCAATAATTCTCCAAATCTTAATTCTCATGAGATAACTTCGGACCACTCAGTTGTTTCTCAACATGACATTGAATACCTAAATACCATTTCGATTTCTCCTGAAGCCTTTTCCCATTCTAAATCATCCTCACTGAATTCAATTAGAGAAAAATGGTTCATAAACTTATCTAAAACAGAAATTCCAATCAATATTCAATGTTTTTTACAATTGGGTGAGGGATTTGCACTTCCCTTCAACAACAAGAGTAGCATTATTTTTGATTGTATCAAAAGTATTGAAAATAGTACAATGAGAATGAACATCAATAAAAAAATGGCAATTACTAATGGTGCTATTCCAATTTTGAATGGTATTGTCTCTTCTTCTATTTTTACATCACATAATGATAAAAAATTAAGAGCCATGGAACGCGATGTAATCAATTTTATTTCTATACATCCTGAGGTCATCTTTACTTAAGCCGATAAGGGAAACGTAACTGTAGCCATGGATAAGGATGATTATATTAATAGAATGAACATGATTTTTGGAGATAGAGTCACTTATATTATCCAAAATAAAGATCCAGTTAAAAAACTTACAACATCTTTAAGAAATCTGCTTACTGGTTGGAAAAACAAAGAATATATTAGTTACTCCGAATATAGGACTCTTTACTGTAGTGATGGAGTTCTACCTAGGGCCGATTGTTCCAACTTCTTGGTAAAATGACTCTACCTGATGGTTGATTGCTTCACAGGTAAAGTATACCTACCGGGTAAGCAATAAGTTCGTTGTTCCATGGTTAAATATCTATTGGGTAGTAAACCAATAGGTAAGCATGAAATTGTTCGATACCTACTTCCGTTTCGTACACAGCTAACTTCACGCGATTGAAAAGCAAGGTTAGATTTATGTGATAAGAGTTATGTGTATTAAAAAGGTTCTTTTAAGAGAAGTGTAAAAGAAATAGGACGCGTCTTTTGGACGTCTTAAATGTATTTTTTTTTATATTTTGTATGTTTAAGATATTTCTTCTTATTTTTTATATTTATTTCACATATTAGAGAAAATCTTCTAATTTTGTATAAAAATTTATATTGTAGCCATTAACAATGGAACCGCCGATTAAAGAAGGTAGAAGCGTTAATTTCACGGCAAAAGAAATGTTAATTTTAATAGAAATCGTAAAAAAATATAAACATATTGTTGAATGCAAGAAAACTGATGGCACCACATGGCGAGAGAAAGATGAGTGTTGGTCTAAAATAACAGATGAATTAAATTCTCGTTGTGCAGAGACTTACCGAAAGAAAAAAAGCGTTAAAACAAAATATGAAGATATAAAAAAAAACTTAAAGAAAAAATTGTCAAAAAATAAAGCGGCAATGTTTAAAACTGGCGGAGGAACTCCAAAAATTCAAGATCTTACTTCTGCGGAAGAAATGTTATTGTCAATTTTACCTTCGACCATACAAGGATTGCCTTCAATCTTTGATTCTGATGAAACATTTGGTATGTGTGTAAGTTGTATGTTTGATTTAATATAATTTTATATAGCATGTTGATTTTACAATGATATTTATCATTATAAAATTAATTAATATACAGCACTAATTCTTTAGATAAACAAGCTGCCTGTGTAAACATTGAAATGGAGACATCTGTAAAAGAAAATGTGGATGAATTTCAAACTTTAGATATTGATCAGTCCGACTGGATATATGAAGTACTAGATTGTGATAGTAATGAGGTAAGATAACATCTTTGGCCATATAAAAATATTTATTTTTATTTTACTTACTAATTTGTCTATGTTTGCAGGCAGAAAATGCATCCTCTTCGAAACACGTAGGAAATAACGAATCTACTAAAAGAAAGCGAGAATACTTAGACGCAATTACTAACACGGTGGAAGAACACCAAAAAAAGGCAAAAACGCTTGATGTTAATGACGACAAGATTGAGAAAGTAAATGTCATTTTATAATGTTAATATATATTATGGTATATATTGTAATACGATGTGTACTATAATATTTATTAACATTATAAAATTATGTTAACTTTTTAAATTAGTTGTAACAGCATTATTTTAAATTCATAGACAGCACTCACTTCAAAAGATAAGGAAAATGATACTTTGCCTATAATAAAGAAGCAATTACCTTCAGGAGCCTCTACTTCATCAGAAAAGTATTCACAAGCAAAAGATATTTTGAAGAAGAAAGTCAGCAAGGAACTAAAAATGGAAAATTTTTCAAAATCGTCCGAAAAAAACAATATTGTTAAATTAGCAAATGCAAAAGGAGAATTGCAATTACAAAAAACAGCTTTAGAAGTAGAAATACATATGAAAAAAGAAACGAATAATACGCAAAAAGAAATCTTGCAAACAGAATTAAAAATAACCAAAGAAAAATTAAAACTCGTACAATTAGATGTACAACTTAAAGAATTAGAAGTTCAATTGAAAAGGCAACAAGTACTGAATCTATTATAAACTATTATTAATTATTACAACTGTTATAAACTGTTTCTAAGAAAATCATAAATTTAGATAAAGTTAACATTAAAAGTATATAAAAAGTTTTTAAACAAAATATTTGTTTATTTTATTTTATTTACATGAGGTATGAGTACAAATTACACAGTACAAATTATATTACTATGCAAATATGTATGTTACAACAGTTAAAAAATAAATATTTTTTAATATTATACTAATGCTTCAATTTCTTCTAACATATAACATCTTATATTGTTATTTCTAAACTGCAGTCTCAAGTTTTATATTATTAAATTGTAAAATATGAAGGAAAAAAATCACATTGTAAATTACGGCAATAATCTGAAAAATTAAAAATAACATTAGGTAATGAAGAGTGAATTTTTTATTTTAATATATATATGTAACATACTTCTTAACAAAATTAAATGATCACTTGTTCTACCATCCAGGCAAATTTCAAGATAGGATAATTTTGTTAAAAACCAGCGAGGGTGTTTAAAAAACCATCTTAAAGCTAGTACATATATGTCAACTTTTATATATAATTTTGTAGTCAATTACAAATTGTAAAAGCATAATAAGTCTTCTGTAACTTTAAATTATTTTAAATTTAAATTCTAATATTAATATTCATATCCCGTTACACGAATTCGAATAATTTACATTGTTTTGTTCTCCATTAATGTTGTGACTTTTTATAAATATTACAAACCTAAAATATGTGTCAATTAAAAGTCTTCTTGCAGTATCAGTTCGAGCATTATCTGGTATCACTATTGGATCATGATCTTCTAATGCATCGATTAATTGTACGACGTCCAAATCAACTGGTGGTTCAGGATTATTCATTTGACGAGCGATATTATGTAATACTGCAGTTGCTATCACAATAGCTTGAGTAGTAGCTATAGACACTCTCATACCTATTGCTAATACAGGAAATCTGCGTTTCCACACACCAAAAGTACATTCAATTTTGTTTCTAGTACGTATTTGTGACTCGTTGTATAATTCTTCAGCACGGTTATGTGTTTGCAATAAAGGAGTCACTAAAAATTTAACACAGGAATATCCATTATCTCCTAATAAAATTCCATCTTTCATTTCGCCTTGAATGAATCTAGCATGCAAACGACTTGCATCAAAAATTGTAGCATCGTGAGTTGAGCCTGGCCATCGTGCTACTATATCTTGAAATTCCATATTACTATTACATACTACTTGCACATTAATACTAAAGAAACCCTTTCTATTTCGAAAAACTTCAGCCTCTTCTCCACCTAAAAAATGTATAGAAACACATATAGTATTCTTTTAGTAGAAAGACAGTTTATTTAACGTACCTGGTGATTGAATTTTTACATGAGTACAATCTATTGCACCAATTACTCGTGGAAATTTACTGATGTTATAAAACCCTTGACGTACATATGTTGTATCTTCTGGAAAACGTACATAACGACGATATTCAGAAGCTAAAGCTATCGTTACTTTTTTGATAATTCTGCATGCTGTGGATGTATGAATTCCTGCAAAATCAGCAACAGCAATTTGAAAAGCTCCTGTTGCATAAAAACGTAATGTCAATAATAATTGATGGATTGGCATTATTGCATTATTTCTGGAAAAATAGGAACAATTTTATAAGAACATTTCTATTCCAAGATTGATAAAAGAATTTATTTTATTTTATTAATACTAAACTATTTTATTTTATTAATTATAATTACCTCAATGTTTTTGTTTTTATCTTATCACAAATAAGATCAGCTACTCCAATAACTGTTTCTTTACACAATCTAAACCGTGTAATAAATTCGCGTTCATCATATATATTAAAAAAATCAGGTCGTGGCCGAACAGTATAAGGTTTACGAATTAAATTTAATATTTGATAATCGTCGTCATCTCCATCATCTTCAAACAATTCTTCATATATATTTCTAATATCCATGGTTTTAAAAAATTATTAATAGCGTAATACTTTATACCTTCCAGCAAACAACACTGGATCAGAACATAAATTCTAAAATATCCTATTTACCTGCCAGATAGAAGCTTTACCTGGTGGTTCGAGTAGCGAGTAAAATTACCTGTCAGTAATGGCAATTTAACCTATAAGTTAACGTACCCAAAAGATGGAAAAACGGTCATTGATGTTTACCTGATAGGTACCTGTCAGGTGGAACTTACCAAGAAGTTGGAACAATCGGCCCAGAGTCTATGGGTTGCCTAAAATACTAGAGACCCTGTAAGGAGAGACTTGCCAACTCGTCACGTGACTATGGGTGATTCTGATTGGCTGGGGTATGGATCGCACATCTGCGTTCCATGGACATGTACCATAACCTATTCTAATAGAATACGCGTATACATGACAGATGACACATGTGTTGCTGTCAGCTTGTGTTGCTTACTGACTAGTAAGTTAATTTATCACATCTATGTAAAATTTTGAGAAAGGTAATGTACATATATCACGAATAAGCTTCGAATTAATAAACGCTTCATAGTTAAAAATAAGTAATACAAAAGTTAGAGATACCTATTTCATTAATAATGTAATTCTCATGTAGGTTTTGATTTTATACATTTTGCCACATATATGTTGTGCAGCGAAATGTTTCAATAAATCCAGTGATGGATATGCGTTATTCAGATTTCTCAAGGAAGATCAATATCGGAAAGCATGGATAGATGCTATTTTTGGCGAGAATGCAAGATCCATAGATAATCTGAGATTGTGCGAAGTGAGTGCTCATCGTAAGAATACTATGCAGGATCCGAATAAAAATAGTTTAAAAAATGATTCTCCATTTAATGCTTTCCTCATTTCAGGTACACTTTGAGCCATTAGATATATTGGTGGTAGGTCGCCGGAAAGAAATAAAAAAAGGTGCGATCCCATCACGTTTTTGTCATTGTCCCTCCGAGAATTTTTGTAAATCGAAAACAAGAAAGCGGAAGAAAGATGAAGTTAATGTACATACTGTTAAAATAAAAAGAATGTCTGATAGTCACATATATTTTTCAAGCAGTTGATACATGTGATTTCTGACTATAAGAATGCTCTACAATATTTGGCGAAATTTTTTTTAAAAGAAGACGATTTTCTGACGATATTCTTACTTTGACATTACGCACATTAACTTCCGCTTTCTTGCTTGCGATTTATAAATATTTTCTGAGGGACAATAACAAAAACGTAATGAGATCGCACCTTTTTTTACTTCTTTCCGGCGACCTACCATCAATATAACTAATCGCCCAAAGTGTACCTGAAATGAGGAAAGCATTAAATGGAGAAGCACTTTTTAAACTATTTTTATTCGGATCCTGCATAGTATTCTTACGATGAGCACTCACTTCGCACAATCTCAGATTATCTATGGATCTTCCCAGGTAGCAAACACACGTCATTTTGACGTCAAATTCTGGTCATGTTGGTACGAATGACGTCAAGTGACCAAAAAGTGACCAACCGATATTATAAGCCCGGATCCTCATACGGACAACAGCTCTTTGACACCGGACACTGATTGGTGAAAAACGGGTTATGGGGGTAAATTTTACCCTCGCCACCGGTTTTTCACCAATCAGCGTTTGGTGTCAAAGCGCTGTTGCCCGTATGAGGATCCGGGCTAACGTCATTATGACATCGTCATAATGACGTTATAATGACGTCATATTTTGGTTCTCCTTAATTTTCCTTTTAATAAGAAAAAAGATATAGTAATAGTAACCAAAAAGAAATAATTAAACACAAATAGCTGATTATCATTAAATTATTTTGTTAAAATAACAAAATACAATTTTTTTGTTAAATGAACAAAATATTGTAAATTTTTTTATTTAGCGACGGTACAAATTTATTTGCTTACTTACTTTTTGTAAATAACAAGGTAAAATTTTGTTGCCATTACAAAATAAGTGTTTTTTTTGTAATTTTAACAAAATAATCTGTTTGGGTAGACAAAATATTTTTATTAAAAGTATATATAGACAATTCGAAACATCTCTGTCAATAAGGTAACAGTGGAGCAGTACGTTAGGTGAACGACTCAGAACAGGACCATGGATCAAGTCACGAGTTCAAATCCTATCAGGTTTAAAAGTTTTTTCCTAGGTATTATTAGTCAGTTCAGCACTTAAGGAGAGGACACAAATGATGGAGAAAGAAATCTAATTAATAAGAACTGCTGTAACTTTTTTTTTTGTGTGCGTCCACATGCGTGCGAGCAATATGGCACCCAAATGAGGACACTTCTGTCATGCGCATGACATTCACGCGTGCGGATAATTTTGCACGCGTGAATGCACTGTGAGACCATTGTGCGCGCATTTTGTTATCTGGGAACATGATGTTAAAATGACGTCCTTGCAATGACGTCAATAATTTTGCGACATTAGTACGTCATTAGTACGTCATTAAGACGTCATTTAGTGACGGCAGTCATGGTCAGTAAATGACCCAAATTTGACGTCAAAATAACGTATATTTGCTACCTGGGTTGTACTCTCGACAAAAACAGCATCTACCCATTCTTCCTGATATTGTTCTTCCTTTGGAAATTTAAATAACACGTATCCATCATTGGATTTATTAAAACATTTTGCTGCACAACATATATTTGGCATTTTCAAAATGTATAAAATCAAAACTTACAAGAGAATTACATTATTAATGAAATAGGTATCTCTAACTTTCGTATTACTTATTTTTAACTATGAAGCGTTTATTAATTCGAAGCTTATTCGTGATATATGTACATTACCTTTCTCAAAATTTTACATAGATGTGATAAATTAACTTACTAGTCAGTAAGCAACACAAGCTGACAACACCACATGTGTCATCTGTCATGACACATCTGTACGCGTATTCTATTAGAATAGGTTATGGTACATGTTCATGAACGCAGATGTGCGATCCATACCCCAGCCAATCAGAATCACCCATAGTCACGTGACGAGTTGGCGAGTCTCTTCTTACAGGGTCTCTATAAAATACACAAGACTGATTATCCATTAAGAATAATACCCAAGCAGCAAAATAGGGCGAAATTACGTCTATTCGACCTTCTAATAGGTTGAAATGTCTGTTTGACCAGTCCCAATTTACGTCGAATCGACGTCGAAAGAAGGTAAGTGGGGAATAAAGTTAAAGTAATTTTACGGTCGAAATTAAGTAATGGAAGGCATTTCGTCCTATAAATCATAGTCCGATTTGATCAAATAAACCTAGTAGAAGGTCGAATATCAGTAATATTTTGGTAATTTTGACCTAATTCTGACCAATTTGTGCCCTCTCTTCTTTCGGCGATTCAGTTTTTGTAGCCGAGATATCTAGAGAGAGCAGCGCTGTACATTTCCATATTAATTCTGCTGAGACGGAGAATCATACTAGAGCCATAACATGTGCTTGATATGGTTCCGACCAACCATGAAAGTTTGAAATAGAATAGTAACAGAGTCCTTCTCTACGTCAATTCTGAAATCGAATATTACATGATACGTGACAGAAATATAAGTGTGAAAGAAAATTTTCTGTATAGATTTTTAGTTTACTTCGTTAAAATCAACGCGCCTGCAAAAATAAATAATTTAAACAATTATTAATTAATCGTTAATTGTTTAACAACAATATATTTTTGCACTTAGTATAATAAAAATATTTTAATGTCGCACCTACGCTAACAGTAGCATAAAATAGATATTTTTTTCAATTCTTAACATTCCGAGAGATATAGTATAATTTATTTTCTATTAATGCTCAATTTTAGAAAGCATTTTGGTATATAATGGCGGACAGAATAGTTCTTATAATGATGGCTGATTTAATGATTTCGCCCAAAGGACCCCGCAGAATCCTTATGGGAAATGGTTTTCGGCTAATTTTTTTTAAAAATTTGATATGTGTAGTTCTCAACACGTAGAACAATTTGTCCATGGCCCCAAAGTCCGATCACGGGTAATTTTCGAGATACAGCTCTCCAAAATTGGACTTTTCGTACCTTATTGCAGCGTAATGCGGGTGCAGTCGATGTCGATGTACGATGATGCTTATGATTAAAGTGGGCGTACAGGTGCTTGCTTTTGTGTGTGTGCGTGCGTCCGTGCGTGTGTGTCAGCAGAGATAAGGATCCACGGTTCGTCACTCCCGCAGTATTTTATGACTCCAAACCCTCTTTACTGTGTGTGTTGTGTGTGTGTGTGTGTGTGTGCGTGCGTGTGTGTGTGTGTGTCAGCAGAGATAAGGACCCCACGGTTTGTCACTCCCGCAGTATTATATGACTCCAAACTGTCTCTACTGTGCGCGCGCGCGCGCGCGCGCGCGTGTGTGTGTGTGTGTGTGTGTGTGTCACAGAGATAAGGATTCTACATAATCCTTGGAATATTGCGATTATTGATGAATAATGTGCACGCACATATCTCTCTCTCACACACACATATACGCACACACACACATGCACGCATAGTAGAGAGGGTTTGAAGTCATAAAATACTGCGGGAGTGACGAACCGTGGGCTCCTTATCTCTGCTGACACGCACGCACGCACGCACGCACGCACGCACGCACACGTACCCATGTGAGAGGCGAGGGGAGGACTCTCGTTAGTCCAGCATCCCGAAAGGATCAGAAGTCATACTGCGTCCGTCTCGTTGGTAATGCCGAGACAGGTACACGCACACATTCACATGAAAACACGTGTTTAAAATTCACTGCATCTAATTTCGTGCTCCATATCTTGAAAGAACAATACTCGAGCTTTCTTTTCGTCATGGGAAGACAATTTTATTGTTGCTCGTTCCTTTTTGATAGACGCCCAAAATTTGGCAAAATCGTGTGATTCGACCCTTTTGATCTTCAGTTGTTTAAAAACTAGAGCCAATTCAATATTTTTATAGGCATATTTGGATTCTGCGGAAAAAATCCTATCGGAATCGACTTAT